AGAGGAGATGCCACGCCATAGAACGGCAACCGCGTCCCGGCGGGAACGCGGCCCCCCCGGGGGTTTTTTTTCCCTTTTGGGGGCCCCGGGCGGGGGGGCCCCGTCCCCCCCGGCCGGCCCCCGCCCCTCGGGGGCGGGCCTTTTGGCGTTTTTGGGGAACCCCCCCGCGTTGCGGGCCGGCCCCCGCGGGCGGGAAGCGACGTTGGCGGCTTCCGCGGCGGCCAACCGCCAAAAGCTTTGCCTCCGCGCCCGCCAAAAGCTCCTTTCGAGGGGGCCGCTCCCAAAAGCGGAAGGAAAAATTTTTGGCCGAGCCTCGAGCCAAGGAAGCCGCCCGGCCCCTGCTTTTCCGCGGCCCCGGCTCCCGGCCCGCGGCGCTTCCCGCCCCGCGCCCCCCGCTCCCGCCTCCGCCCCCGCGCCCGCGCCCGCCCCAGTGCTGCCCGTCCCGAGTTGCGCTCGAAAGAGCGCAGTCTCCTGGAGTGCTGGAAAGAGCATCGGCCGGCGGTTGCGGGCGAGCGGCGACGCGATGGCGTGACGCCTCCCGCGGCGCATCTGGGACGTGGCCAAGCGCACAACAGCAGCAGCAGGAAGAAGCGCGAGAAGGAGCGGGAGCGCACGGGGGAGCCGGGCGAGCCGCCGAGCTGCGCGCGGGGGCCAGTTCCCGCGCCGGCCGCGCCCCGCCGCTCCGCCGCCCCTGTCCCTGCCCCTGCCCCCGCCCGGCGCGCCGACGGCCGAACGCCCCGCCGTCCGCCCGCGCGCGCGCGCCGCCCGCAGCCCGACCTTGGGCACGCGCAAGCGTCGACCCGCTCCCCGTGCTGTTCGCGCCGCGCGCGCCTCGGGTTGAGCGAGGGCTCCGCCCTTCTCGCCCGTGTGCACCGGCGCCGCGCCGAGGTCGCTGCGGCCGCCGCGCCAAGTCCTGGACGCCCGTCGGTGGCGGTGGGCAACGCCCTCCCGCCGGCCGACCGCCCCCGGGGGTTTCTTCCTCAAAAGGACGACACGGTCTCGTACGACGAGCAGAGCCGGCGGCTGCCCCCGCCGGCGGCACGCGCAGCACGCGCCCGGCCCGCCGCCGCTGCGCCACATGCCCTCCGTCATCCAGGACGAGGAGGAGCCCGACGAGGAGGAGGAGCAGGTGGCCGTCGAGATCAGCGCGCCGGCCCCGCCGCCCAGGGAAGAGCCCAGGAAGGAGCCGCTCGCCAAGACGCTCTCCAGGGAGGAGCCCAAGAAGCCCACGTGGATGGAAGAGGCGACGATAGAGGCTCCCAAGAAAGTAGCCCCTCCGCCACAGGTTGCAAAAGATGAGCAGGATGCGCCTCCTAGGGTTCCGCAAAAGGGAGAGGTCGAGAAAATTCCGAAAGTGCCATCCAAGGATGAGTCGATGAAAGACGTGCTCAGCGAACTCGCAGCGAAACAAGAGACGAGAATGGATTCGTTCGATAAATTTCCCACTGCTGAAGAAGTCGCGAGAGATATGCTCAAGAAAGTTCCAACGCGAGAGGAGTCTGAGAGAGCGTTACTGAGGAAAACATCGTCTAAGGAAGACACCGAAAGGGCCGCTTTGAAGAAGACCTCGTCGAAGGAAGACACCGAAAGGGCCGCTTTGAAAAAGACCTCGTCGAAGGAAGACACGGAGAGGGCTGCGTTGAAGAAGACCTCGTCCAAGGAGGACACGGAGCGCGCCGCTCTGAAGAAAGTGCCGTCGAAAGAAAAGGACCCGAAGCGGGAGCTGGTGCGGCGCGACTCGTCCAAGGAAGAGCTGACCGTGGAGGAGCGCCAACGGCGCTTGATCGAGCAGCAGCGCCTGTACGAGGCCCAACTGCAGAAGCAGCGCTCGCTGGAGGAGGAGCGCAAGCGCACGCGGCGCCTGGGCGCGCGCCACCGGAGCGCGGGCTCGTCGCGCGACGGCTCCCGCGAGGGCTCCCGCGACGACGACGACCGACCGCGCTCGCGGCAGCACTCCAAGGACGGCGACGACCGGCCGCGCTCGCGACAGCACTCGAGGGACGGCGACGACCGCCCGCGCTCGCGACAGCACTCGAGGGACGGCGACGACCGGCCGCGCTCGCGACAGCACTCGAGGGACGGCGACGACCGGCCGCGCTCGCGGCAGACGTCTCTCGACGGGGACGACCGGTCGCGGTCGCGCCACTCTTCGCGAGACAGCGAAGGCCGCGACTCGCGCCCGGTGTCGTTCGACGCGACGGACGACCCGCCCAAAGAGGAGGACGAACTGTTGGCGGAGGAGGTTCTCGACAGCGATAGCATGGAGGAAAAGGGGAAGGAGAAAGAAGTGGTGGCGGCCAAGCCTCCCGTTGCGCCCGCGTCGTCCGCAGCCACGCCCCCCGTCGTCGCCACGATCACCCGCGCCCCGCGACTGGGCATGACACACGAAGAACGTGAGAGGCGGGCAGGGAGCTCGAAAAAGCAGGAAGGCGAGTGGTTCACTCTGCTGGGGATC